TCCGCCATACACTTCCTAGTCTTTTCTTTCGCTCTTCCTTTCTTTTTCGCTACCCTCCCCCTCTCTCTGCGCGCGACCTCGCGCGGAGCGAGAAGCACCTGAAGAAAACGCCACCTGAAAGCGTATCGAACAATAGCCTACGCTCCGCACAACGGAGCATGGAATGAGAACAGCTCCTTTCTCTCCTCCCGGCCTCGGAGGCCCGACTCTGATCCTGAATTATCACGACGCCTTGTATAATCATACGCGTGCGTTGCATAAATCAGCCGTGCTTTCGCGCGGACGAGGATCGACGAGTGGGGCTCGACAGCTCCTTAAAGCCGCTTGATCCGCGCAACACGCGGCTTTATCTCACGCGGACGCAATTTCGCATCGCGACAGCCAGATATGCAGCGTATGACGAAGCGCAATGCTCGAAACGCGCACCGTGGTGAAATACGGTCTCCATCGCGCGAAACGTCGAATCGACTCGCCGATCCGCCGCCCCGATGTGTTCGGCCGTCCGTTAATCCGCTGTTTGCGCGAAACGCTGCAAGGTCGGGCCGGATTAGCGCGCGCGCGCGCGCGCGCGTTACGCGCGAGAGAGCGCGGTGTAAGGGCATAAAGCCAACCACCGCGTCCGCTCGGAGCTCGGGGAATCTCTCGGCGTCGACATTATGCGGCACACCTCGCGTTTAACTTGATAAATGAAGGCAGACCGGCGAGTGTCGTTGCGGTCCGACCAGTTTCCCGTCGTCGTCATCGTCGTCCTCCTCCTCCTTCTCCTTCTCCTCCTCCTCCTCCTCCTCCTCCTCCTCCTCCTCCTTCTCCTCCTCCTCCTCCTCCTCCTCCTCCTCCTCCTCCTCCTCTGCCCTCCACTCCTCTTGCCCTTCGTCACAGGTCTGCCCCGGCGTAACCGCACTTTTTTCCCGTCGTACTCCGGAACCAGCCGATTTCCCCGAAAGAAAGAGAGAAGAGAAAGAACGGAGGTGACCGGCCGCGGATGGAAGGCAATGCCAGAGGAAAGGCCACTAAACGCCCACCTCCGGCAGAAGCCAAGGATGGCTATCTTTTTACCCGAGAAATAAGGGCCGAAGACAGGGACTTGATTATCGCGGTGACGGCGGCGGCGGCGGCGGCGGCGGAGCCGGACGACAAGAAGCGTTCTTACGCGTGGTCCGGCCATTGTATTACTCGTCGTTGGAAACTTTTTTAATCACGTTCTTCCGTTGCGGATACCGGATGTTGCTCTCGTACTCTCGCGAGTAACCACGCGCACGCTGCTCGAGGGGCTCGCAGGAGAGCGTCGTCCCCGCACACCCTCGCCCCGCACCCGCTCTCTTTCATTCATTATTCATATTTCCCGGCCGTTCTTCCCGTTCTTTCACTCCCGCGCGTTCGCGACAGCTCGAAGTTTTATTAATCGTTACCGACGCGGCGTTACCGTCGTCGACCGGCACGACGCGACGGTGGTGGGCGAAACGCGGCCGCACTGAATTATGCGTTTTGCCCGGGCATGAAGTCGCTTACGAGTTTCTAAATGTGTTTTAAACCGGTTCCCTTGAAACGACTATAATGGCGATTTGTGTGCGCGCGCGCGTCCTGATCGATCACGCTCGGAAGACGGAAAATATTCAAATGACGGACGCATCCCTTCATTTTCAACTACCAAGGGATTGGCCGAGGATCAAAGGGCCGCATAAATTCCCGCGGGATCATTTTCTAATAAAAATCAGCTTTGAGATATTATTGCGTTCCAATGAGATTTCGAACGCGAACCCGGATCGCTTTCAGCAGGATTCTTCGAACTGAACATTTTATTACGGTCTTGAAATACACGTCTCCGAAATAAATGACGGAGAAAGGAAGAGAGAGAGAGAGAGAGAGAGAGAAGGAAAGAAAACAAATGTACATCGAGGCACACATGTTGTGTAATGTGTAAACGCAGGCAAACGGAAAATATTTCAATACTCTCCTCTCGGCGCTCGGGAAAGACGATTCAGGCTGGCGCGAGGACTTGGGAGAAAATAATAATAAATAATAAGAGAAAACCTTTCTCTCCCCCGTGGCGTTTCTCACGTGTTTCGATGAAAAGCGAAGTACGTGCAGCGTAAGAAACGAATGGGACAGCAACAGCGTGAGCAAGAGTTATAGGTCGCGTCGAGCACCGTGCGAAATTCGATATTATACTCGAAGTTCTCCCGTGCCGTTTGTAAAGACGAATGGGCAGTTGCTGAAAAGAGCAAATTGCGAGAGCTAATTGAACTGGATGCATCCCGCGCGCTTCTCACACCGGCTTGATCGATTAGGACGGTGTGCTCTCTCCCTCCCCCCTCTCTCTCTCTCTCTCTCTGTATGTTCACACCGCCACTTGCGTGTTGTACACGGATTGCGCGGACACGCGGCTCTCGATTCTTCTTCTTCTTCATTATTCGTCCTCGGAAATGCTCTCCCGACGTAGGAAAATAAATTTCACTTTTTATCGAGCGATATGCCCCCTCTCCGCGAGTTCTGCTGACGCCGGCGACGAGGATGAGGACGCCGGGAAACTGCATACATAACGCGAATACGGGCACGGAAGCAGAGGGTTCTGTATATTTGACTTAATTAAGAGGATTTCATTTTAATTCCGCGGAAAATATTTTTGCCCATAGCTCTGACGCATGCGCGCGCGCGCTTGTTACTTTATAACGTATTTCTATTAATTTCGAGGGAGAGAGAGAGAGAGAGAGAGAGAGAGAGATAGAGAGAGAGAGAGAGAGAGAGAGAGAGAGAGAGAGAGAGAGAGAGAGAGAGAGAGAGGAAAATATCTCTTATACGCGATAGCGAAATTTAATTTGCTTTATGACAAAGACATCAGTCGCTAATCAAAGTCTTGAAATCCCGCGTACGGTAACGGCTGAATTTTACCCACGGGCATTGCGTTGAAAGAGTAATTATGCGGCGGTCCTATTAATACGAACATTTCTTATGAAAAAAGGACCCTTTATGCGCTCATCGCGTAAACGCTTTGTAATGTAAAAAAACTCTCTTCCGCCTTGGATTTCAGAAACACTTCGGATACCGTGATTGGATTTCATGCAAATGTCGTCCGTGAGCGCTTCGCTTTTGTCTCTCGCACTCTTTGAAAATAATTGACGGTAATATGGGAACTGACTCATAATTGTCGTTGAATTCCATCGTATATGCAAATTCCATTTCGCGGGTGGCGCTCACATTGTGTCGCTCTCGTCGTCGGCGATTCTTTTTTTTATGCCGATGGAGCGACACCGTGATCGAATTAAAAAAGTAATCCGAGAAATCGCGTTAGTTGCCACCGGCGACGAGAATCGCTGGGACAGGTCGAGATATCCGGTGACTTTTGTCACGCGATTCTAGACACCAGTGTACCGCCACAGTTGCGGAAAACAAAAAAAAAATAACGAGAAGCGAGATGAGCGGTCTCCGATTACGCGTTAATCACTGCTACAATACCATTCGATTTCGCGGTGGAAATTTGAAACTGCGACGCTCGCTCGCCAATAGCTGGAAGTATGTCAATATTAGAACACGAGAATTAAGGATCGACAAAAGATTCGTGATGCATGTCGCGAGAGAAGAATCGGTACACGCAGTGTTTGTCGCGGTGCTGTGGTGCGATGATGACGACGCGGTGGTCGTCGACGGTCAACGGCATTCGAAGCGTATACCGAGACTCGGTCAAAGCCGCGGTTGCGTGGCAACGATTCGTTCTCTCCTCGATACAGCCGTCGTGCACTTTGCCAGCTGAAAGTCCCTGTGTTGAGAGTCGGCAGACGCTTCGAGTCTGTTCGAATTAATCGCGGAAGGAAGGCGAGACCCGGCGCGGCGCGACGCGCGCGTCTTCCTCTTCGTGTTCGGCCCCTTTTCGCTTCCTTCGTACTATTCCTTCCTTTCAACTTCTCTGCCTCCTCCCCCTTCTCCCTCCCGCTCAGCCATCTATCTATTTGTGTGTGTGTTGTGTGTGTGTGTGTGTGTGTGTGTGTGTGTGTGTGTGTGCGCGCGCGTGCGTACGTGTGCGCACAAGGTGTCCCGGAAAACTCGCGCCTTTTCTGCGAGTGGTAGTACTCGAGCTCAGTTAAAGCGGGAAGAAAAGCACCGATTGTTTCGTGGGAGTCGCCGAATTCTAAGCGATGCGAAATCAAAGAGCGCGAAATGCAAATGAGTCGCGAAAGTTGCTGCTCGGTGATTTTCGGAGGACTTCATCTCGAGGGGACATTCTCTAACTCGAAGCTCGGGCTCGTTCCGGAGCAGTGCGCATTCGCGGATGAAAATGAAAAACGGAGATAAAAGACGATAAGGAACTATTCCGAATTCAGAGATCGCGATTGATTGCGATCGTTCCCGAAGACGCGCCATTCCCGCGACACCCAACTGTTCCAAACTGTGTTCTTGTCTCTTGTATCCCCCCCAGTAACCCCCCACCTCCCGCACCCACTCCCTCTTAGCGTCACACGTATTCTAATTGTCGCCTCTTTGCGCCCGGCTTCAGCAACGACGGCTTCCTCTTCCGATCGATGAACGCGGGACTGAGTGTTGTATGGATCTATTCGCGAAATAAGTTACCTACATTTTCCTCGCTGATGAAACCGACCGCTCGCATCGATGCGACCTCGTTACCTATCGGAACTTTGTAACATTGTGATACACACACACTCGCGCTCACACGCGTATTATTCGCATATTACTCGCGTATTCCATATCGCGCTGCGTTCCTGCGCGCTGCACCACCCTCCGTCGTCGCTCCGTTGCATCGACAAACGGCGCGTCGTTGCGAAAGAGTCATCGTTCCGGCGCACAGTCAAAAGAGCCGTCGGATCGTTGCGCATCGTTGCGCATCCGCCTACCTCGTCGTGGCTTTCGTGACACTTCGGCAATGTTCACGTAACGTCTAGCGGAAGTACCTTCCCGCCCCCCCCCTCTCTCTCTCTCTCTCTCTCTCGCTCCCTCTCTCTCTTTCTCTCTCCCCTCTCTCTCTCTCTCTCTCTCTCTCTCTCTCTCTCTCTCACTCGCTCTCGCTCGCTCCCGCGCACTCTCTCGTTCTCACTTTCTTTCCTCTCTTCCGCACTCTCCTCGCTCTAAAATGTCTTTCGACTCTCCCTCGGAAAAAATGCGCGATAGAATGGAACAATTAGTAAAGTAGCAGACACAGGCAGAGCAGAAGAGAGTACAGCCTCGGTTGCTTGGCCTGACCGCCGTGCTGCATTGCCGCGGGATACTCTCCTGAAACAGAGGGCAACACTTAAATTTTCTGAAAACCTACGACGCGCCGTGCGCTTTTTCCTCGTTGCTACCCCTATTGTTCTTTTTGCCGCTCGACCGGGACGGAACGTGAACGCGAATGTCGAGTGCAATTTAGCTAATTATTTTCCCGTCCTTAATTGGCGCGGTTCCCTACACCGCGAGACGCAGTTTCTCCTCTTCCCCGCCCCCGCCGTCCTCCCCCCCCCTCCTCCCCCGCGCATGAGGCGGGGCAACTTGTGACGTGAAATTTGTGCGGGGCAAAAAAGATGGCGGCTTGGTTTAATCTCTCAGTTTTTATCTCGTTAGTATATTTTACGTTTGCGCGCTGCAATCTCGCGGCTCGCGATCGATGCTGTCGCTGACGGCATTTTAACGCACGCGAGGAGATTCCTCTCGCTGAGAACGGCGGAGAAACCGCGCGTCTTCGATTACTCACCGTTGAGTACGTGTACGGTGATCGATTTCGGTTGAGCATTACTGGGGTTACAAGTATACCGTCCGGAGTCAGACGGCTTAGCTTCTTGCACCAAGAGGAAGCTCGTCGTGGTCTCGCCCTTCTCCGTTACTACGGAGATGCCGCCTCTGGTCGAGTCGTAGCTGATTATCTGAAACAAAGATCGAACGATCGTTCTGAGAACGGCCTCTGATATCTCCTCGGATCGAACGGCAAGCCGTCGAGAAAGGAAGGGCGGGAGACGAGTGAGAAATCGGCTAACCAACGCCAGATACAGTTTTTATTGGGCGGCCTCGACGGATATTGGCTAGAAAAAGACGACGCGCAGATAAGCCCGTCGAAGGACTCCCTCTCAGTTCGCGGGGAACACCGAGAGACGAGGGTGGAAAAAAAAATACGACGTTTTCCTCCCGGCGAGAATTCTTTCCCGCGTGTTCTACAGAATCGACGATCGAAAAGGGGTTGTAAAGTACGGTACCAGGACGAGACTGGTGATACGAGAGAGAGAGAGAGAGAGAGAGAGAGAGGGAGAGAGGGAGAGGGAGAAAGACAGAGAGAGGGGGGAGGGAGAGAGAGAGAGAGAGAGAGAGAGTGCTAGAGAAAGAGAAAGGATAAGAGAGAGCTTCACCCCGACGTTCAGTGCAAATTGCTTCGGCGGCGACTTATGCCTCGAGGATATTTTCCGGAATAAATATTATCCCGGACGCCGACGATTTTCCTGCGATAGTCGAATGAGAGCTTGCTCTGCTCGTGTCGCGTAATTTCACGCAACTTTTAATTGCTTTCTCGAGTTACACTAAACGCTTATGTCCCATTGACGTATTATTCGCAGTGGATATACGTGCGCCGCATTTTTCACTTGTGCCAATTGAAAAAAATAAGATTGTTTTTGGTTTTTCGTCATATCTTTTTGCGACAAAAATTATCGTCGTTACGCACGCGCGGAAGAAAACGTCCGTCTGTCCGTTTGGACATTTATCCATGAAACCACGTTCCGTTTTTTTAATGAAAAATTAACCCGTTTAAAGCTGCAATTACCGAGGCATTAGGATAATCAAGGCGTTCCAATGACCTACCACCGTTCCGCGCGTTTGCCCTGGAAAATTGGACGTGACGTCCAAACGCTAGTAGTATACTCGTCGCGAGGCACCGGCGAACGTCGTGTTTATCCTACGTCTGTTCCACTCGACGATGCTCGTCACGAGTGTCGCTTTAAACGCGCGACTGGCAGGCAGGGCCCACGCTCGGCGGTGCACGCGAACTGAAAGGAACAAGGAGCGAAGAGTGTCGCGAGAGCCGAGAAGGATTTTTAAATAAATAATCCGCAGCGTCGGAACCACCCTTACAGCGCGACAGTGTGCTTACGTTCCGTCTGAGAGGCACGTAAGCCTTCTTAAGGGAGCACGAATCGTGGAACGTTCTGCTGTTCCTCCCTCACGTTGTTGGATATTCATTTCTCGGCTGTATGTTTCGTCGACGTTAACCGTCCGTGCGTCACCGCGGACCTGGGTCCTTGCGCAAATGCTCGATTATCAATTCAATTCTCCTCGCACGCTATAAACTGCCGCGCGAGCCATATTCTCGCGAGCGATATTTAAATGTAAAATTCCGTCCTTTTATCGTTGTGCCTTTCGCATGACCCCGTAAAGAGGAATTGTGAAAATTTTACGTCACGGTAATAGGATTATAGAGAAAAAAAAAAGAAAAAGAAAAGAGAAAAGGAGGAGGAAACTAAGATACGTCAAAACTGAAACTCTTAACACATTTGTGTGCGCTGCACACACGCGTTGTATCCGGCGTGCTGTCCGTTAAAGGATTTCGTAGCCCCGGATATTGCAGGGCGCGCTTAAATTGTCCCGTAAATGGCAATCCGAGTAATTGTGCCCGAAGCGTTATCGCTTCACCGGAGAAGCTGCGAGGTGTATCCTCGATGTTTGTTTCGTTGTGAGGGCGCGACAGGTGCATCCGGCGCTGCCCGGGAGGGGGGAGCTTAATTTTTCCGAACCGCGTCTCTGTGCATCCTGGAAATAAGAATATCGGTCGCCGGGCTGTTTATCCCCGATCGGTCGGTCCGGCAGCCTCAAAGTGCGATTAATCGGACGGCAAAGTTAGCGCCACCGTCGTCGCCTCCGCCGCCGCCGCCTCTACCGCCGCCGCCACCACCTTCGAGTTTGATAAGCGCCGCGCTACCTTCCTTCCGTTCCGTTATCTAAACCGCGCTGCGGTCTAACGCAGGATAATATGCGAAACTTTCCTTCGAAAGTCCACGGTTAATCCGGTCGTGTGTACGAGGCGCAATAATGCCGGCGAACACACACGGATATGCTGTCCACGTACACACACGTATAGCTGTGTGCTTGGCATACAGCTGCATTCTACAATCGCGCGCGCACACACATACGCCTCTGACATCCTGCGTCTCTCGTTCTCTCTCCCTCCCTCTCTCTCTCTCTCTCTCTCTCTCTCTCTCTCTCTCTCTCTCTGTGAAAGCTCTGAACTTTCTTGCTCTCCGTATGAGCCCCGGCTAGGTGCGTCGTCGAGTTTTTACAACCCGTCGCTGTAACTCGCAAATTAGCGTTTCGGAGAGCGTCTCTTCGGCTGGCACAGCGGCGGTAAAATTGAACAACGCACGGACGAGGTCGAATTTCTCAAACTTACGTTACGCGAAACGTAGAACTTAAGTTTCAGGAATTTGTGAAACTTTTACGAAGCCGATCCCCCCCGCGACAGTTGCGTGGAAGAGGCAAGTTCGCGGCGCGCGTTCGCCCGCGCGTACTGCGAACGATAAAGCGTGAGCACGCAGGCTGCGAGCATAAATATTTCCGCGATACATGTTAAATGTTTGATGTCGCCGCGTCGTCGTTTACCATGACTCGCGCGGATTTATATATACGTGCGAGAGCGACGTTCTTGCAATTACACGGCCGCGCGGCTTTTCGAAACGGATTGATTTTTATTTAATTCTACTCAATCACGCTCCTCGCATCTCCCATCACCTCCCTCTCTCTCTCTCTCTCTCTCTCTCTCTCTCTCTCTCTTTCTACCCCTCTCTCTCCGCCGCCCCTTGCGCGCTCATCCTCTAAGCCCTCAGACAGGATGGATAAACAATATCCAATTTTCAGTTCATTAATCGTGTAAAGCGTTGACTCTGCGTTGACAATTGAATTAAAACAGCGAGCAATTACTCGCCGATTAACTCTCGTCACGGTAAATCGATCTGGAATAAATGGATGTTAACCCGGTCCGGGCTGTGAATATTTACATTCCTGGTTTTGCGTTAGTTTGTAAAACGCGATTATCATGATTTCTGACAAGATGCGCCGTTTCGCACGCTCGCCCGGGGTTTGTCGCCCATTTTTTGCCGTTAATTGTCGAAAAATTGCCGGGGCAAACGGTGAAATCACGTCTCAATAATTTCAATGATCACGCGGGCGCGGCTTATGAATATAAAAAGCTTATAAAAATTCGTAAATATTAAAAACCATCGCACGTTGGGCGGTTCATTTCGCATCAATCGTTTATACGCGCCGGACGCACGGCTCGTTAAAAAAGAATCTCGAGAAAGAAATGAACGGTGCAAGATTTATAAGAGGTAACCTAACCGCGCGGAGAGACCGGCGAGCCGCAAGCTGCCTGGCACACAGAGAGAGGCTGGGGCGTTCGATATCGATCCGCTGGATTCAACTTTAGCTTTATTTGATGTTATCAGACGGGGAGGGGAGCGCGGCTCAGCGAGCCAGATAATTCCAGTGTGTCTTAGACGTCCCGTAATTTGCCCAAGTTTTAAAGACGCACACGGAAGTTTGCACAGACTGGGGGGGACGAAGCGTTGAACGGGCGGGAGGGGGGAAGGGAGTGAGAGGACAGGAGGCCACGTCAACCCCGTACATGTTCTTAACGGAAATCGGCAAACCCGCGGGATTGCCAGCCGACTTCGGGATGGAGCATCTTGGGCTCAATGGCCCGTTGGAATGGCTTCTCCGCTTCTCTATCACCTTGTCCGCCTCCCCCCGTCCGCGCTTTTACGGATTAGTACTTTTGTCTTATCAGCCTCAGGCTCGCGTTTCGATAACGGTGTTTCTCCCCGCGCGCGCGTGCTCCGCCACGATGCATTCTCATTCTTCTCGGCGCGACGTTCGGCGCCGTGTCCGTTCGTAGAGAGAGAGAGAGAGAGAGAGAGAGGGAGAGAGAGGGAGAGAGAGGGAGAGAGAAGGAGAGAGAGGGAGAGAGAGGGAGAGAGAGGGAGAGAGAGGGAGAGAGAGGGAGAGAGGGGGAGAGAGAGGGAGAGAGGGAGAGAGGGAGAGAGAGAGGGAGAGAGAGAACGCCAGTCCCTTCTGCCGTTCTCTTCTGCCAAAATTTGCCGTTTCACACTTGGCGTTTTAACAGTCCGCGGCCGTCGCTGTTACTCCCGTTGACCGCTTGTTTGTGCATTATGCAATAGGAAATTGTGGAACGACAATATATCGATCGCTTTGCCGAACGCGCCGTGCAGATTAGCGCCGCGCGCGCGGTTGAAAACGTATCGAAATTATTAACGAGGCGGTTGAATGCGCTAGTCATATTATACCCGCTGCCGCATATTGCGTAACGATATGGATTTTTAATAAATTTACACGAGATATTAATTCGTTAATTCATTAATAAATCGATTGACATTGCGCGCAGAGTAGTTTATATGAATTTAAATATACATCCCGCGGGCGCACGCGCGTGCGTGCGTGCGTGCGTGCGTGCGCGCGCGCGCGCGCGCACACACACACGTGTAAAATACGAGCGAGTTGAGCAAAATTGCAATACGGCGTTATCATTCGCAGGTGTTGCGCGAACACGCCGGATAAAACGACGCGGCTCGCGTATTATCGGGAGCGCGCTGTATTTTTTCCTTTTTCGCCGCGCGAATTTATCTAATCGGATCGAACGCGCTTCGCGCGATCGCTATTGAGTTAATTTGTATCCGCGCTGCTGCTGCATCGCCACCGATCGCACCCTTTCTTGAATGCTGCGAACGATACGGCCATTGAGCGAAAAAGCGTCCGATATTTGCGATTCCAATTGCGATCGTCACAGCCGGGGGAATCATTTTTGCAGCAAGTGCTAGCCTGTAGCGCGATAGTAATAATAGCTTTATACGCGTTTTCCCGTAATATTACT